ACAATGTAGTGTAGCAGCAGATAAATACTGATAAAATAATAATAATAAAATATTTAAATATATTTTTATATCATTAAAATGAAATTGGAAGCCGCTAACATCCACACTGGCAAGGCAACACTGTCACTGACGCCTTCTTCTTCTTCTGGTGTTTTATGGCGGTTTGGCAAACCAGTGAAAAAGGTGCTTTTGTGTTTTTCAGGTATTTAAACATATTTTCTTGCACTCTTGATTGCCTCGCAAGACACATGAAAAAACACCTGAAGGACTCCAAGATGGTGAGAAATAAGATTCTCTGGTCGGATGAGGCCAAGATAGAACTTTTTGGCCTTAATTCTAAGCGGTATGTGTGGAGAAAACCAGGCACTGCTCATCGCCTGTCCAATACAGTCCCAACAGTGAAGCATGGTGGTGGCGGCATCATGCTGTGGGGGTGTTTTTCAGCTGCAGGGACAGGACGACTGGTTGCAATTGAGGGAAAGATGAATGCGGCCAAGTACAGGGATATCCTGGACGAAAACCTTCTCCAGAGTGCTCAGGACCTCAGACTGGGCCGAAGGTTTAGCTTCCAACAAGACAATGACCCTAAGCACACAGCTAAAATAACGAAGGAGAGGCTTTTCAACAACTCTGTGACTGTTCTTGAATGGCCCAGCCAGAGCCCTAACTTAAACCCAATTGTGCATTTCTGGAGAGACCTAAAAATGGCTGTCCATCAACGTTTACCATCCAACCTGCCAGAACTGGAGAGGCTCTGCAAGGAGGAATGGCAGAGGATCCCCAAGTCCAGGTGTGAAAAACTTGTTGCATCTTTCCCAAAAAGACTCATGGCTGTATTAGATCAAAAGGGTGCTTCTACTAAATACTGAGCAAAGGGTCTGAATACTTAGGACCATGTGATATTTCAGTTTTTCTTTTTTAATAAATCTGCAAAAATGTCAACAATTCTGTGTTTTTCTGTCAATATGGGGTGCTATGTGTACATTGAGGGAAAAAATTAACTTAAATGATTTTAGCAAATGGCTGCAATATAACAAAGAGTGAAAAATTTAAGGAGGTCTGAATACTTTCCGTACCCACTGTAGCTACCCCACCTCCATTACCTTGTTTCCTGTCTTTCCGAATAACCACATATCCTTGTAAAACAAAATTCAACTGAGGTTTGAGCCATGTTTCTTGAACACATTATATCAGGTTTATTTTCCAAATCAGAAATTAATTTTTTTAATTCTTGCCCATTAGCTATTAAGCTTCTCGCATTCCACTGAAATATTAAAAACAAATCCCAAAAAGACTTTCCTAGGCAGCTTATCCTCATCAAAATGAATCATCACAGAGAGACTGTCTCCCCTTTCATTATTCCTATTGCATTTTAGTCTTTTCACCTCAATCACTGCGGCTCCCGTAAGACCTCTCTTAATCTTTTCAACTGTTACATCTGTGGGGATCCCTGTTATTACTCCTTTCACCCATTTCTTTTCTTCTTGTACTGAACAAATCACACTTTGTCCCATGATCGATTTAACTCCTAGAGCCTTCTTTTGTTGCCTACTATCCTTACAATATATTATCAATCTACCATCCCTCAACTTCTTAACACTTTCAATAAGTCCTATCACTTCCTTAATTGTTTTAGATAATTTCAGCGGATTAATGATACTGAAAGATCCGGTTTCAAGTTTCATCACTACCTTATACTCTTCCTTCCTTCTTGTCAGATGCAGATGCGTTACTCCAGCTTTTCTTTCTTTTTCAATTTTCTACTACACTCCATTCATTATTTCCATTCCCGCCTTCATCCGTGTCAAACACTTCATCCTCCATTTCCGGATCACTTCCAGAATCTACGCCACTTCCTACCATGCACTCTCCAGTCACAGATCAGCTGTTGTTGCCAAACCGCCTGCTTGACCGCTCCAGCCCCACAGCCCAC